TCTGTCTCTGTCTCTGTCTCTGTCTCTGTCTCTGTCTCTGTCTCTGTCTCTGTCTCTGTCTCTGTCTCTGTCTCTGTCTCTGTCTCTGTCTCTGTCTCTGTCTCTGTCTCTGTCTCTGTCTCTGTCTCTGTCTCTGTCTCTGTCTCTGTCTCTGTCTCTGTCTCTGTCTCTGTCTCTGTCTCTGTCTCTGTCTCTGTCTCTGTCTCTGTCTCTGTCTCTGTCTCTGTCTCTGTCTCTGTCTCTGTCTCTGTCTCTGTCTCTGTCTCTGTCTCTGTCTCTGTCTCTGTCTCTGTCTCTGTCTCTGTCTCTGTCTCTGTCTCTGTCTCTGTCTCTGTCTCTGTCTCTGTCTCTGTCTCTGTCTCTGTCTCTGTCTCTGTCTCTGTCTCTGTCTCTGTCTCTGTCTCTGTCTCTGTCTCTGTCTCTGTCTCTGTCTCTGTCTCTGTCTCTGTCTCTGTCTCTGTCTCTGTCTCTGTCTCTGTTCAGAGTATGTGTGGGATGCGTACCTAACCTACATAACTTTTCACTCCCAGTCACTCATGTTACAGGCGCACATTCCCTTCGTGTTATGGAGACTGGGCCCCGAAGAATCATGCATAGCTAATACTAATAGCTCATGGCTAGACGAACTCGACAAGGCCTGCTGTCTATGGAGAGCATTTATACGGACCAGAGAAAACCTTTTTGTTGTGGCCTATGGTTGGTCAATCTAACCAGTATGGTTATGTAATTAATGAATCCCAGCATATCCCAGTTGGATATCGAACGGACGTTTCAACGTTCGAGGCTGAGATCAACTGACAGGTTGTCGGTTGTGTAAAGTGTGACAGTCGTCAGTCATACAGTCGCGTCGATCGACCTATCCTATCAAGGAAGGTTAAGAGGAGTCCCGCAGGGCTACGGTCACCAGTTACCGATCGTATATAATTCGGTGCGGATGCCTGGTAGGCATGAGTAGTCTAGCGTTGCTATTACTACTGGTGTCGTGGTCACACCCACCTCGCACCTTTACCACCTATTGTGGTCTGTTTTCCGCTGCTACATTTCGCTGTATTTTGGTGCGTCTCAACCAGACTCACTACAGATTTGGTATCGAGACCATAGGTCCATGGGACAGCGGCAGTCCCTCATTCCGGGCGCATTGATAGGGAGTGCGAATATTTCGCACGTCTGACTATCTCTCCCAGTAAGTAACTTCTTACTGCAAGTAAGTTGTTCGATTAGCTGTCCCGGTGAGCAAGATCCTACTGTATTGTAGTGAACGGGACAGGCGGAACAAACGACCCTATGGCGTCAGGCTCCTCAGGGAACCCAGCCTTGCCAGTTGGCAATGGGGCGCAGGTTGGGGCCCGGCGCAGAATGCTGCCGCACCAGGTGGAGTTAACCTGAATATCCCCTTTCAGCAAGTTGCTGATGCCGCAGCTGCGCCTGCTGCTGCTGCTGCCCCTGCAGCGGGTGAGGCTGGTGCTGCCGCTCCCCCGTTGGCACCCGTTGTGCCCGTGCCCGTCGCACCTGTTGGTCAACCAGTAATCCCTATTGCTGGAGCACCCGCCGCTGGCGCAATGCCAGACCCCGCACAGCCCGTTGCTGTGCCAGCAGCTGTTGCGGTCGCACAGCTCCCGGATGTGCAGATGGTACGTAACATCCCTGCGCCAAAGTTGCCCGTTGCAACACCCGTAGAACCCGACCGAATTCGTGCATTCGTGGCTGATGTTCGGGATTACTTTGTTCTTGTTGGCTGGCAAGCTAACATTCCAGCGCAAAAGTTGTTTATCAGTGGGGCTTTGGAGGGATTCTTCAAAGAGTGGCACATTACATGGACCAAGTCGGTTCCTGACTATACCCCAGATCAGTTGCTGGACGCCTTCCTGGTCAGGTTTGCCCCGGAGATGTACTCTCGCACGCACGTAGCGCGCACTACCTTCTATAGCGCTGCCTTTAAGCAAGAGCTTAATGAGTCAGTCCTTACGTTTGCTGGTCGTTTTGAAGCGCTACTTCAGGATATTCCTGATATGCAAGAACCAACTAAGCTTTGGCATTTCCGCGAGAAGCTATTGCCATACTTACGTGAAGAGTGCGCCGTACGCCCGACTGATTTCCAAGAGCATACCGTCTATGCCGAGTTGCGGGCACATGCGATGGGGGTCGAAAAACAACATGCAGTTCGCATGGCTGTTCAACAGTCCGCTGCTCGTGTACGTTCTCATGCTGCTGCCCTACAGGCTCCACCTTCCTTTGCTGCTGCTGTGGCGGCACCCGCTCCAGTACACGCTGGACCTGTCCAGGCGCCGCCCGTCGCTGCCCCTATTCAGCCGGCCAACGCGGGTGCGGGCCGTGGTGCTGGAGGCCGTGGCCGGGGTGGTGGACGTGGTGGTGGCCCAGCAGGCCGCGTGGCCGGACGCAATGGTCCAGGTGGGGGTCGCGGACAGGGAGGCCGGGGTAATGTTAACCCGGGTCGAGGCCGTGGTGCCCGAGGAGGAGCCGCCGCAGGTCGCGGTGCAGAGGCTGCCGGTCGCGGTGCGGGCCGAGTGGTCCAGGGTGAATGGCAACAAGTGATGGGACGGAAGCGTCAGCGGGTGAACCTGGCGCTGTCTAACAAGCCAGCGCCTGGTGGGGGGTACCTACCAAAAGCGCAGATTGAACTGGCGATGTCCCTCCGCGGTTGCTGGGTGTGCCTGGGTTTGGATCACACTTATGACAACTGTCCTCGTTGGAACGAGGATGCTGGCGCCGGTGGTGCCGGTGGCACTGTTGCCTAGGGAGTTGCCCCTCCGAGGTTCGTTCGACGCCCGGATGGGAATTGTCTTTGGTCCAAGTATTGGCAGGGTTTGGGACGATCAGTGCACGAAAGCGAAGTTGCTAGTATTGCAACCACTGTGGGCCGAGAGTTCACTTTAGATGCATGTGCATCAGACTGCGGCTTGTCTGCCGTATGTAACGCTTTCTCGTGTACAGCCCGCCCATTCCTTGATACCAACGTTGCCGGACATACAGTCTGGATGGCTCCGAATGCAGCTGACTTGCCTGCGTACGTAACGCCGGACATACAGTCTGGATGGCTCCGAATGCAGCTGACTTGCCTGCGTACGTAACGCATTATCGTGCCTGTAAGCCGCTGGCTCCACAGTCAACAGCAGCTTGCATGCTAGTTCCTAGTGGAACGGAACCATCTTTGTTAAAAGGCATGAAATTGGTACGACGATACCCAGTGGGTACCTCTTTGTTTTACGTACCAGATGTACAAGGAAGCCGCGCGCTTCTTCCTCCTATTACTGAAGTTATGGAGGTATGGTATGATGGTCCAGACAGCACGGAAGAAATCCCTGCCTGTACAGCTATTGGGAATGCTGTTCCTCACCTAGCAGTGAAGATTTCAGGGTCTACGTTTATGGCCATGTTGGATTCGGGAGCTACGCATAGCTTCGTTTCCGAGGCGCTGGTGCGTCTTCTTCATCTTCACGTGCTACCCTCAACCTTCACGTACGTACGGTTGGCGGATGTTGGAATGTCCCCCATCGTTGGTCATACGATGCTGAAGGTGAGAGTGGGACCGGTGCGGTTGGTAGTACCTACCCTAGTGATGAAGGGGTTGCCAACCTCGGCTGATCTGATCTTAGGTGCGAATATCTTAGAGCAAAGTCGAATGCGAATCGATTTTGACACCAGAGTGGTAACACTCCGGAAGGGTACGCAAGAGTTTCGTCGTACCTATTCGCACGGAAAGGAGGATCCTTCCAAAGATCAGCGCCCAAAACATCACGTTATCATGGCAATGCAAGCCAGGGCAGAGTGCTTATCAATTAATCGCACACAAGCGAAAAACATGGTGCGAAAGGGAGCGCACGTGTTATTAGTCCGTCCGCGGCTAACTGCTGGCGCAGTAGTACGCGCAGCTGCGACCCGTGGGTCAGGTGGGCCGGACGTACTGACTACCTCAGCCGCTGAAGTAAAAGTGACGGATCCAGAAATCGCCGCCTTGTTGGAGCGATATCAGGATATC